TTTATCACACTAATACTCTGCTACGGCTTCGTTCGTACGGCGTCTGGACTCGAGTGGAATGGACTGGATGTTGATATAAATCCTGTTCCATTAATTTTGATTTTGTTCCTGAAGTCCTTATTTTATTTTTATTAAAAATACATGACTAGTGAGGCTGATGTTTCTTCCTACGAACTGGAACCAACCGTCTTATTTTGTTTAATTTCCAAATTAGGCAATATTTCTTTTTTTGTTATATTGTGTGTGCGCCAATGGTCTGTAAGTGTGGGGGGTTTATTTAGAAAAGCAAGGCTGGCAAGGCAAATAACATAGAGTGCCATGCCTGTCTTGCTGAACTCTCCCTGGTTTACTGCATTATTAAATATTGCATAAATTATTCAATGTCCTTTATATCAAACAAATATTTTTTTTGCAAGCAGGACTGACTGAACAAAGGGGTATTGAGTAAAACCCCCAGACAGAAATGAAATGGTGTTTGTTTCTCGCTCCTTGTAAAGAGCCGCTGCTGCTCTTTCCTTAACATCGCTCTGGCGCTAGAAGGGAAAAATGGTGACGATGACGCGAACGAGTCACTTCTTGCACGATGTTGAAACGCTCCCTTTCCGAGCCGGCCGGCGGCCGGTCCGGGTCGTGACGCTGGGGGAAAGGGCAGGCAGAGCAGCGCCGGGGGGAGGCACTGGGGCTCCTGTGTTTCGGCAGGAGTGAGCCCCTTGGTGCGAGCGTGGCCACCCTGGCCGCTCAGAGCGGGGCCGCGAGAGCAGCCGAAAAGGCGCCCCGAGTAGGGGGAGGAGGAGGCTAACGCAGCACAAGGAACAACCCTACCTATCTGGCCTATCTCCCTCAACAGGGAAAGGGCAGAGGCTATGTTTTTTCCATTTTGCCTTTTGCTCCCTTTGTGTGGGGCCTGCCTGGAGAGTCTGTGGGCACCTCGGGAGCTTTGGGGTGGGCAGGCCCCTTGTATCCACGGAGGTGACGCTCCTGAGCGGCTGTTCGTGCGTGCAAAAATACCAGCCGTTTCCAGACCTCGAAAAGGAGGGGCGCGAGAGGATCTGAAAACGGGGAAAAAGGG